GGCTAAATCACTTTAATACTTATTTTTAGCTGCCTTTTTGTGGAACTTAGCATTTTTCTGGCTAGTTTTATGGGCAAGGCCACGGCCAGGCTTTCCAACACTTGCCGCACATACTGAAAAGGGGCGTCAGTCAGTGGTTGTTGTTCGAACACGATTTCCAACACCGAACACGAACATGTTCGAAACGATATTTGAACGACATTAGTAATGCGAGCGGGTCGTGATTATTTATCGCTCGCGACTGAACCAATAAACAAACCAAATTATTTGATTCGTTATATAAAATAATTAAAAAGCTCGCATAATAATGAGCTGGCAATACGAAATTATATGCTTATAGAAATTATTAGAAAATTCTTTTATTATACAGCATTTTTGTAAAATTTTCTATTATAAATTTCGTTTTGTATTGTATCGTGCTTTATAATGTGGGCAGCACTAAATTGCACGACACAGCCAAAAGTCGGAGTTGAAGTTGGGCCAACGGAATCAGCGGAGTCTGTGTGACTGTTTTGTGGTTGCTTCGCCCAGTGCTGGGTTGACTTTGATGACGATGATGATCATGATGACGATGACGATGACGATGATGATGATGATGGGGTGGCTGGCACAAGGGCTAAGGCTTTGGACTTAGCTTTAGCTACAGCTACAGCACAGCTACGGCTACAGCTCTATGGCTATGACTATGGCTCTGGCTTTGACTTGGTGGTGGTAGTATTCCCCGCCCGATCTCTCTGGCCCATTCCACAGCCAATGGCTTCAATGTCCCGGCATCGCGCGTGCATGCAGATGAATCAAAGCAGCCGCTGATTATAGCAACAATATGGAAATGCCGCTACCTCTCCACTACTTCGGTTTGCCTCGGGTTATATAGGGGCATTGTTTATTTATATGCCATGCACATGTGCCTGTGTGTGTGTGCAAATGTGTTTGAGTGAATGTAAGTGTGTCTGTGTATGTGTGCTTGTATTTGGTTTTTATAACTTCCATTTGCCAAAGCATAGTAAATTCTTTCAAAGCGTGTACTACATTTATTATTTAAGCCACGCCGTTCTCACTCTCTCTTTCGCTCGCTCCTTCTACCCCACTCTCTCTCTCTCTCCCGCTCACTCTCTGATCTATATGCACATTGTTCTAGCCATTCGGTTTGTGTCTCTGTGTCTGACTGCTGCTATATTAGCCCTCCCTCCTCTTACGTGCTACTTGTGTGCCCCCCGAACGGCCCCATCCCCCCACCCCTAACAGCAACAGCGACAGCAGCTTTATTTGCATATTTTGACTTTTATGCGGCAAAAATATTACTTACTGCGCTGCTGCCAGCAAACAAACAGCCCCTCCATAGCCGCCCCTCTCGACGTGCCACCCAACACAGGTCACCCCTACTAAAACAGGGCAACGTTAATAAAGCGGCAGAGTATACAAAACAGAAAAAACGAAAAAAAAGCGAAAAATATAAAAACGCCAAAAATTAAGGCAAAAAAAAGTTTTTTTTTTCCATTTGGCATGCTGCCTTACACGCGCCAACCCCTCCGACCCGACCCAGCCCCCCTACCCCACCCCCTCTGCCATCTTCTGTACGTCTATGTACACTCCTTATATAAGTCGTCTGCAAAGTTTGAAATTTGGGGCTGGTTTATAACTCCATTGCAACATGTTGCATGTTTGAAATTGCCAAAAGGAATGAAAAGTAAAGAAACAACAAAATACATAGATCAGTTATCTAAGCATGCAGCGGACCCGATGTCCGACACACTCGTTAATACTTATGAAACTTTTCGGGTTTCCTCCATTTTGCCAGCATAAGGCGCATAATTTGTTTTTCCCAACTTTTATGCGCTAATAATAATACATTGATATTGCTGTCTTATGGCCGTATATCACAGGGATGGCTAACACATCTGTGCTTAAAGTTAGCTTGGGATCTCTCTCTCTCTCTCTCTCTCTCTCTCTCTCTCGCTGTATCCCTCTCTCTCTACATTCTTTTCGCTACTATTCCAAAATGTGGTTTTAAATACGTTCTAAATTATGACTAGAGGGGGGAGGCACACACACACACATGTGTGTGTAAAAGCCACCTTTGAGCCATTTGAAATGATATATACTGTATTTATTTCAAATTAATAGTTTCCGAACAGCGTTGCCAGCTTGTTGCAAAAGTTATGGGATTCCCCACTACACAAAGATTATGGCTATAACTAAAAACCAAAGAGAAAAAAAAAACAAATATAGAAAAGCAAGCTCTAGATGACAGAGCTACGAATATTAGATACACTTGCTGACTTTTGTTTGTAAATTTCAGATATAGAACACTATATCTTATACATATGTATATAGCATATTATACTACATATATGTTTTATAATACTCTCCAGCAATAAGCAGTTGCACGTTCACTTTTCGAATTGAGCTAAATATTCTATTAACTTATATGTATATATGATCATTTGATATGGCTTTGTTTTTATATACTTATATGTTTGATATGTGAGTACAAAGCTATGTCATATATATGTTATAGCAATCTATTGGCTCATATTTTGTGCGTTGTACTTCAATAATATAATGAGATAAGGATAGGATATAGTAAAGGCGATAATAAGATAGATAATCATAAAATTCAATACAGAATAGAAATTCACGATATAGTTATAATATCTGTATAAGTGAGACAATGAGAAACTTGATTTATGTGCTCTGATTGCTTTAGCAGTTTTAAACATATCTTGGGACCTATCAATTGCTCTTGGGGTTGACTTAAAAAAAAAAAAAAAAAATATGTAAAGTCAAGGCGTCTATATTATATTTGTACTACGATCGAAATGTTATACTATATAATGCTCTATATTGTTCACATAGTATTCAAATCTGGATACCATATCTACTACCCTATTTTAGTAATGCATATTTTATATAAGTGTTTCATGTAAGAACTTAATTCAATCAATCAATCAGTTATTCATACTATGTCACAATCGTATGATTAACTGCCTAATAATAGTATAGTAAGATATAGTAATTGTATAATATAATTGTATAATATAATAGGATAGTAATACATAGTATTATAGACACTAGGTACTATGATGGATATGTATAGCATCTATAACTTTTCATATACATTTACATTTTAAGCATTCTGTTACATAATTTACGACACACTCGTAATGCCCGTTAGGGTAGAAAGCAAGCAGTGTAGAAGGGCTTTTGAAATTTATGCGCCCATTGCGAGCCATTTTGCAGTGCAGAACTTTTTAAAACAAAATTCCATTTTGCGGCTACCGCAATTGACTTTGTCGTTGGATGCCGGATGCCGAAGCCCCGTTACTCGCTGCTGCTGACCCACCCCCCTGCCGGCCATTACACCATCCTGGTCCACTTAATGGCGCCCAACATGCAATGGCTGCGGATAGAGATGCGGGCCTTAGGCCGTCCGTCCGCCTGTCCGTCTGTACGCTCGCCCGCTCGTCCGCTCGTCCGTCCGGCTTATTAAAAGCCGTTTTACACTAATACTAATTCATGGGCAAGCCGTTGCCCGTTTGTTTTTCGTTTGATTTACGCATTTTTGAAGGCATGCGACAAAAGTTGGAACTCGGACTTCAACTGGGAGTTGGAGTTGTAGTTGGACTTTGGGATTGGGATTGGGATTGGGAACGAGAGCAGCAACACCAGCAGCATCAGCATCAACAGCAGCTGCAGCTGGGCAAGCTGCATATTCCCCTGGGTGATAAGTAGTTGTTGATGATGATGCACAATGAGCACATCCGGCCCAGCGAGGGGTGGGAATAATGTGTATGTAAAGCAGACACAATTTAGGGTTAAACAAAAAAAAAAAAAATGGCACACAAACACACACACACAGAGAGAGAAGTAGAAGAGGAAGAAGCTGAACGAAAGTCAAAAACTCTTGATTCCCAAGCCAAAAGGCAAAACTATTTCACAATCCGTGCGGCAGGCAACACAGCGAATCCATTAAGAACATTTCAAATTCTTAAAAATTAGCACTCGACAAATAAGAATGGAAGAAGCAGAGCCAGATGAAGAGGTTTATACAGGGCATAAAGGGAGAGAGAAAGGAAGAGTAATTAATGGAATTTTTGAACTTTTAGTGCAAACGCTTCTTCAGTCTGCATAACACACGGCATTCATTTCATTTCATTTCTTTTCATTTGGTTTCATTGATGGAAGTTTCGCTCCTTCGACTTGCCACAGTGCCAGTTGCCACATGCCACATGGGCAGCAAAAAATAAATTTGTCGTCGTCGTTGTTGGCGTTTTTGCAGTTAGCCCGAAATAGAGCAATTTGCATTATTCGCATTCGAGCAGAATTCGCTTAATGAATTGCGCACAACTTGCCAAGAAATGTCTATCGAAACATTGCACACACACACACACACACACACACACACACACACACACACACACACAAAAGAAAGAGCAGCAGCAACAATAACAGCTCAGATACAAAAAAAAAACTTACAGCAAAGCAACAATTGCATCAATTGCATTCATGACATGGGAATACCCTGTAGACCGAATGGGATGCAATCGG